GCCTTTGATCCTGTGGTCTCTCACTTCCCCAGTTGTGTTTTACCAGCTACTTCCCTTTGTCCCTTGCATTTTCAATCCCACCATCTCTTCTCAAGTAATTGTCTTAATCTACTATATACTTTGTTTCTATTATATAAAAACTGGGGCAGATATTCAACTTCCCAAAGGACTTTGCACCCCTTCCAATTCATTGTTCTCCTTCTCTGTAACATAATAAACTCCATATCACTTCTATGTTCCCTTCTATTTTCTAACTGGTATAAGGGACAGAGCATAGCAATCCATTAGATCTGCCCACTTTTTAATTTCCATGAAATTTGAATTTTAATAACACCCAAGACTTTTTATTTCACTTCTTTACAAAACTTACCTTTACTTTGGCCTTTTCTCTTTAATGTTGCCAGATACCTGAAAAGACTCATCCTAAGAGAGGAGATGTTTACTTTGAAGACATTTGAGAGGACACTGTATATTTGCAAGGAAGTTATGGCAGGAGCATGAGGCAGCTGCTCCTGGACATCTCAGAAGACCAAGAGACTGAGAAAGAGGAATCCTGCCACTCAGCTGGCTTCCTCCTTTTACACAGTTTGACACTCCAGTCCACTCAAGGTCAGGGTAGATATTCCTTAGTCAGTGGCTCTTCTCTGGAAAAGCCCTCACAGATTCACCTACGTACATTTTGTACTCTAGACGTTTCCTAATCCAACAAAGGTAACAATCAGAATTAGCCATCACATTTCTCCTCTTTGGTCTACCTCCATTGCCATTCTTCTCACTATTTCCCTTTCTTGCTTTACCACTGCCCTCCCTTCGTTTTCTTGGAGAACAGGCAGTATGCTGTGGAGTTGAGGTGCAAGCAAGAGCAACCGTATTGGCAGACAGGGAGGAACAGTCTAGTCACACACAGCAGGGAACAGCCTGACCCACTTTGTCCAGTGGCCACGCAAATGTTCACATTCTGTTTGCATAATGTGAGGTGCTTGGAAAGCACTGCTCAAACCTGCCATCCTCAGCACTCTCCTCTCCTCCAACTGGAGTAATAGTTTCCGAATTTTCCCTTTAAAAAATATGAGAAGCCTCATTGCCTAAAAAGAACATAAAAAAAATAAAACCTCTGCTGTGGAGTTGAAAACTATTAATAACCCGAACTACTACTCCGCTTTTTTTTTTTTTTTTTTTTTTTTAGTATTTTAGTATTTTAGTCCTGTGCTTCACCATCAAGTTGAAGTAGCTCCTTGAGGATTACTGACAGACAATCTTACATCCCACTCATCCCCTTCCATTATTAGTCATTTCTCTAACCACTGAATGGAGAAGTCTCAACTCTTCTGTGCAGATTTCTGGATCACTTTCTTAGGGTGAGTGAGTGTACTGTGTATATTTTCTGGACACAATTGCATTGAATAGCATTCTAAAAGTCTGCTTTGGATTCTCAACTTTAGATGAATTGCAGCTCCTGATGCATGAAAAAACTTACATGCCACAATTTTTGGTTTTTAAGACACGGTTTCTCTCTGTAGCCTTGGCTGTCCTGGAACTTGCTTTGTAGACCAGGCTGTCCTTGAACTCACAGTGCTCCATCTGTCTCTGCCTCTGGGATTAAAGGTGTGTGTCAACAAGCCAGGCCCTTTTCTTTATTTTAGAACAAAGCCATGTTAGGGAGGGACTTTTGTGCAAGATATTAAGATATTTGCAAAACAAACAAACAAAAACATGGGCTCTACCTTTACAGCTGTAATACACCTGGATTGGAGAATTGGAATAACTCCTTACCTCTCTCAGGGTCTTAATTTGTCCTTTGACTAGAGGAAATATCAGGTATGAGCAGCACTTCTAGCATACATGTAAGGCACAGCTCAAATCAGTGATGTATTGCTATGCATGCAGCCTGGCTTTTACAGCCTTAACCTTTGAGTGCAGTTAAGTCCACACATGCTAAATGAAGTATAACACCAAAGCAATCACTGGATATCTCTAACCAAATCAATAGTTATAGTCTAATCAATAGAAAATTGAAACAAATGTGTTTTGGTTTAAATTATTCAGACAATTTCTTCAATTTTCCACTTTATTTTGTTCAGACAAAAATTATACTAGGTAACCATGCTTTTAGTACAACCATGTAGTATATTTTCATTTGTAAAATAAAAGTACTTTGTAAAAATCCATTCCAAAACTTATTTCTGAGTAATTAAAACATGTTTGCTTTTCCTTTTATTGTGGTTATTCTTACCAACTTGTCTTACCAGCTTCAAGTTTTCATAAGTATAAGTATAATTCAATTCAAATTAAATTGACTTAAATATTTAGTACCTTCCAATTTACAAGTTATTTTGCTTTGTGCCACATATTAAAACAAATCACCACTAGATCTCTATCAATGTAGAACATTCCAAAGAAATAGAGAAATATAAATAAGCTATAATTGAAGGGTTGATAAAATGGGCCTATGGGCAAATTTTAATCAAAGAGTGTTGACTTAGATTGGTCCAAGTTTTTGCAAGGAAGATGTCATAGGTGATAAAGGCTTTGAATTCAACCACATATTTTACTTTGGGCCTGTATAAATGTTCAAGGTCAGAAAGAAAACAACTTTTGCTTTTCCCATTATAGCCATATTTTTCAGCTTAGATGGAAAGAGTTCCAGGGCAATTCACCCCCTCCTGGCTTCCTATCTCTGTGTGTGCATCTTTGAGAAGTGGGATTAGAGAGAAACCTGCAGGCATATTAATAAATAAATTTCACATGCTGTTAGATATTAAGTAAACATACAGATACATATTCCTCTAGGGTTTATGATCTTATAACCTGGAGATTTCTAATTTGGCACCTATGACATATAGTAACTTCCCATGGGGGTGTTCAGTGAATTAATTCTCATATTTTCAACTTAAAAATAAATGTAGCCCCGATTTGCTTAATGTACTCCATAGGTGATTCAGTGTGTCTCTGCTTTTTACAAACAAATTCTAAAAGGTTCCCTCTTTCCCTATATAGCCAAACATTCCATCATTTAGAATGCAATACTGAAATCACTACAAATCATGTAGATAACTAAGAAAGCTTAAGCTTTGGAAATGTTTGCTTTGAGCAATAGGCATTCAGTTTAAGATCAAATGTTAATTAAGTACATGTTGGAAAATTTAAGAAATAGTACAAGTGAAACCTACTGCATTGTTTATCAAGATATTAGAAAATATGATATTAATATGCAACAAAAACAGCTGACATAAAAAAGAGAATCCAGACCACAACAGCTTCACATAAGAGCTTAATTCCCATGCGGGTGTACTTACTGTCATAAACTATTTTCATTCCTTATGGTCCAGAAAATGCCCTTAAATAGTTGGAATCCAGTAGAAGAGCATAAATGACATTTAGAGATATTGTTTAAGTAACCTTAAAATTAAATTATCTTCCCCTGTTCTCACTCAGTGTGTGTGTATGTGTGTGTGTGTGTGTGTGTGTGTGTGTGTGTGTGTGTGGTTTGTGTTGGTTTGTTGTAGGTTAGAAATAGAGGTTTTGTTTTTTAACATAGAAAAAGGAAACCAGTGTCAATGAAATAGAAACTAACCTGATCTAGGTCCCTTGCAGACATGAGATAATTAATTCAGTGTATAATGTGAACAGATTCACAAGTTTGTAATTAAGCTGAAATGAAGATGAGGAGCATAATAAAAAGCAGAACCACAACAACAAAGCAGTGGTCTGGATAATAGACAAGAAAGAACAAATCCAGAGCAGCATCTGGTATGAGGGGACGGAGGAGGACAATGGGCTAGAGGAAAGTTCAGAGCCTGTTGGCCATGCGCACACACTATGCATTGCTCAGGAGGGAGCTAGAATAACTCTGACTGCACTCTGATGGACTGAGAATTATTCCAAGGAGACAATGGATTTATCAAAATAGAAGACCAAGGTTTTTCTTGCATCTCTTTAAAGAATTTTAACTTTTTTCTATTTTATTATTGTAGTTATTAGTTAATGGCATGTGACCTTCTCTATACCTCCCCAACCCTCTTGTCAGCATGCTTTATGAAATATCTAGAATATACTTAAACACTTTCCTTATTTCACTGAGATGTCCAGCATAGTGTCAGGACAGAAAGAGCTTAGGAGACCCTTGAATGTGTAGCCAGTTTGTAAGAACTATGAGTGCAGAAGGCTTGGGACCTGCCTTCCTCGCATGTTGCTGTGGTCTGCATTTACAGTATTCAAGTTGAAGCACTCTTTTAAACTTGTGTAGACTACACTAACACCGGTGGCTAGGTAAAGCCTGACAAAGTTAGAGCATTCCTCGAGTCTTTGGCTGAAGAGAGTAATTATTCTCTCTGTATTTCTAGACTTAATCTGCTAATATTTAGTTGAAGAGCACTGTGACTATACTCATGAGTCAAAGTGCCATGTTTTTTTCAGTTTTCCTGAAATATGCTGGTAAAATTTTTGTCAAGGTTATAATAACCTCACAGAACAAGTTGAGAAGTGTCCTTTTTAGATTTTTATTCTCAGAGAGATTTAAATGATAGTATTATTTCTTCATTGAATGTCTGGCAGGACCTACTAATGATTCCATCTGGGGCCAGAAATGTTTGTAGGAAGGCTTTTGATTAATGATTTAATTTCTTAATATCTATGTGCATAATTCTTACATATTTTCTTCCTTCAGGAGTCAATTTAAATGATTATGTTTCCACAGAAATTTGTCTATTAGAATGTGTATACCTATTGCTAAAGGGCCATTCATATTATTCTAATTTCTTCAATGTTTTTAGGCTCTGGAAATATGTCCCTACTTAGATCCCAATAATGTTTCCTTGGGAATTCTTGTTTTTCTAATAATTAGACCAATCCAAGAACATGCTCAGTTTTAACAGTCTTTTCTAAAAGTAATTCTAGGAGATGGGGACATAGTTCTGTCAATTAAGTGCTGCCACAGATGCAAGAGAACAGAGTACAGATACGGAGAACCCCCCTAAAAATCTGGGCAAGGAGGAAGGTACCTGGATCTCCATCCTATGGTGGGAGGATATAGTCAGATTTCTGAAACTCACTGGCCAGATATCCATGGAGCTGTAGGTTCAATGAGATACCCTGTCTTGAAACAATAAAGATGAATAGCAATATATGAAGATACCCAACATCAATGTCTTGGACACACACACACACACACACACACACACACACACACACACACACCTGCCTGTGCATGTCCAAGTATGCACACACTAAAGTAATGATATTTTCTGAATCTCCTTTTAATTTTTCTATTATGGTAAATTTTTCTCCAATCATTATCTTTTTTTTCCTGTTTCTATTAAATGAGATGGATTTGCAGTTTTTATTTCTATGTCTCTCTCCCTTGTGTTTATTAAATGATGTATAAGAAGTTTAAAGCTACACATATAAATGCATAGCTCTGTTATAAAATATATATACTGTTTGTCCTCTGGGTATATTTACTTCCTTCCACATGTTTTGGCATGTTCTAGTTTTTACATTATCACTATTATTCAGACATTTTTTTTTTTACTACTTTTCTCTTTGACAAAATGTCTACTTGAAATCCCAACAATTCGATCCAGTCTTTATTCTGATGAAGTGTATCTTAACTCTCTTTATTCTGGTTCTTTTCTGCTAGATAAGGTTCTGTGAATAGTCCAACAGTAGTCCAATGTTTGCAACTGGTCTGCATGCCCCTCAAAGGATCATATAGTCTCCAATTGGCAGACAAATTTATCTACCTGTACAAATGCATGTACACATACAAAACATGCATGTATTAATTAATAGATTTGTTGCTATTTATTACACATGTTTACCTGTTTGATATATGGAGAAAATAATGACTAAAGATGTAGTTTATGATATGATTCTTTTTTTGTTAATGATGTGGTTTTGTGTTTATTTGTGTGTGGGGGATGTATGGGATATGTGCCCTAGTGTCCACTGGTATCAGAAGGAAAGCATTGGATCACCTGGAGCTGGAGTTTCAATCTGGGAATTTAACTCAGGGTATCTGGAAGAGCAGAAAGTACTCTTCAACTACTGGGCTGTCTCCCAGCCCCTATGATATGGTTCTAATCACTTAAATTTCCTTTATGTTTAATGACATATTTGTTAGTGTTTTTCCTATCATTTGCTAAGAAAAGTAATATTAGGCCTCCCATTATGTTTCTTCCTGTACTTTTATGGCAACACCTCATATTTTAATGTCATTAACTTAATATATATTATATTTTCTTAGTCAATCAAGAGAATTTTACTTTGAAGCCTACTTAGTCCTGATCACATTAACTTTGATTATTTAGCATTTGCACAGCACGCTATATATCCTTTGCCATCCAGTCCGTACCTACATTTGAAATGCAAGTCATGGTGAATGTCATGCCATCCATCATGTTAATCTTAATCAGGTCATTGAATTATCACCTGAGAATGATCTCAGGTTTCTATAAATGTGGAAGTACTACTGGCTCTGTCTCACCCTTTGTACATGCTCTGCCCATCGGTGTTTCTTCTTGTCTCTCCTCTTCCCTTCATCTGGAATGGTTGATAGTCTCATTCCACATTTTTTCTCCATTTAGCATGTCAATGCTAGTATGCATTGACTACTGGCATGAATTGTTTACTTAGATGGTTACCATCATTCTTTCTTTTAAAGGATCAGTCCTCTCTTTCTAACATTATATTTTTATTTCCTTGTATGACTGTGTCTATGTGACATGTGAGCAGGTACCCAACTCAGTAAGAAGAGGGTGTTGGATCCTTTTAACTAAATGAAGTTACATGCAGATATGACCTATGTGGGTACTTGGAACTCAGTACTTCTGGAAGTACTAAACTCAGATCTTCTGGAAGAGCAACAAGTGCTGTTAAACACTGAGCATCTCTCCAATCACTCTGTTCTCCTTTTTAAAACTATGTTTAATTACACTGTATTTGGCAAATATTTTCCAGTGTCCTTCCATTCTCTCTCAGTTTTTCTTCTGGAATCATGTCATTTGGTTGATGACATCTCCAACACTGATTATACATTGTTGCCTTGAAATATCCTAGAGGTCCTACTTTGATATCTCTAGTAATGTTTCCTCTACTCTTTATAGACATAGTAATCATTCTCTTCACAGCTTCAAGGTTTTCTGGGGTTTTTATGATTTTTCCAGGTGTTGTTTTTGTTGTTGTTTTTCATATTCCATTGTAGATACTAATTTCCTCCTCCATGATACTGATACTTTTGCTGGGCTTCAATTGGTAAAATTCCATTTTTTAAATTTTTATTTTAATTTATTTTTCAATGTGGAAATTATATTTGACAAATTGCTAACACTGCTACATTATTTTGTGCATTCACATAGCCCAATGGTAATTTACAACTACTCCTATTGTTTAAACCCTATAAATCTAATTTTAAGATGCTTGATTATACTTCATAGTTATATCAGGCAATCTTGCACTGTTTCTCCAATTTTTCATTCATATGTTGCTTATATGTACTACCTAGTTAGTTTTTACTCTGCATTGTTTTCCAGCCTCTTGAAATATTTGTAACGGTGAAAGGCTTACTCTAGAAACTTTTCATTTGCTCCTGATTGGCACTAGAGCTGGATCAAGATAGATGCACAAAAACCAAGGGAAGGCTTTAGATTTCTCCAAATGTATGTGCCATGAACATGCTACAAATCCATGAGGGCCAACCCTAATCAATCACAGCTTCTTTGAGTCATATCTAAAAGTGCTTCTCAATCTTTTTTCAAAGCCATGTAGCACTTCTTATAGCCCAAAGGTAGCTGGATGAGTCATGATATTTTTGCCTTAGTTTTCCTAGTTTGCTTTGTTTTGTCTTGTCTTTAGTTATACTGGAGAAGAAGTCAATGCAGTCCCCATTTAATGGGAAAAATGACTTTATTATACTTTCTTCCTTAAAAAATTTCTGTATCTAGATTTTCTATTCTCTACCCAAGCTTGAGTTAGTGTAGATCAGATCAGCATATCATCTAAGAGTGTGTGTGTGTGTGTGTAAAATCTATGAATTCATACATGTAAGAACATTATGCACACTTCTAGGTAGCACCAGTGCTTATGTGCACCTGCAGCAGTAACACAATTATAAAAATATATACATGTATTTCATCTATTAAAAAAATCTCAGGTCCTATATTCTAACCATTATACTAACTTTTTCTTTTCTATACTATTAAGTACTTTAGCAACTTGAAAAAAAAAGCTTACAAAAACGTATTTTAAAGTCTCTGGAGTAGACATCTTCACAGAGATTGTGACTAAAACATTTTTGGCTTAAAGCATAACTTTGCAGCATTTTAGATACACTGATATATTTACTAATATCTTTCTCATAAAAACCAAAGAGAATAGTTCTAAGGCATTTTTGTACAATACTAGGGTAAATTTTTAGTCTATTCTCGGTGATACTCTTTTATGAACAAAATTAGAACATATTCGAACACTAGGTTATGTTAGAATTTTAAAGAATTAAGTTTAAACTCAATCTCACTGATAAACTGTATAACATTAAAATATAGTCTCTGAGTGAGTGTGATTGGAGTTCTTGATAAGGATTAGATAGTGATTACGCATCAAGTGATAGAAGCACTAGTTTAGTAAACAAAACAAAACAAAAAAACCAACCAACCAAACAAACAAACAAACACAGCTAGCAATAGAGAGTTGACATAGTGGTTAAAAGCACTTGCTGCTCTTCCAGAACACAGGAATTCTGTTCTCAGTACCCACATGAGGAAGTCACAACTGCTAGTAACTCCAGCTCCCGGGGATCTGGTGCACATGTGCATACACACACAACTACTCTCTCTCTCTCTCTCTCTCTCTCTCTCTCTCTCTCTCTCTCACACACACACACACACACACACACACACACACATACACACACATACACACACACTAAAATTAAATCTAAACCAATAAAAATAAAAAGCCAAATCATAGAGTTCCAACTGCCCTCCTATTATCTTTACATCAGGAGTCTTGACTTCTGTGCATCTATGGCATACAGAGAATTCTATGGAACATGTTTAATGATCCCATAATAAAATATTAAAACATAATTATTCCTACTTTAATAACTTAATACATACACACAGTGAGGTTATGTACTATCTTTATTTTACCCACTTAAAATGTGTGTAGGATATAGTGGTACTGGGGTATTCCAAAGGGATTCATTATTTAATGTTGAAAGCCTACACAAATGCCAAACTCATTATAGTGTGCATGCTGGCAAGTGGCTAGGGTTTAGGAGATAATGCAGGAGCACACATAAATCAAAATTTCAACATGAGCAAACTTCTTTCTGTACCAGAGAATGATTAATCACATCACTGACATCGTCTATGCAGGTTCTTGTTCATGAGTAAGAGTTTAAACCCTTAGGTTACACCTTCAGCCTCCACTATTGCTTTCCACACAACAGCCGGGTGGGGGTGGGGCACACCAATTCTGTCTAGATGCCAAATGCCTTTCAATCCATAGTCTAGAAAATACCTGCACAGACTAACCTTCACCCTCTAAGAAAAATAGAATTGCAGCATCATAGTAAATTGTTCCTGAACTTCAGTTGGATTATTTAGAAGAATGATACTTAAATTATTTCAGGATTACATACATGTATTAAGTCCCTATCTTATTATACATTATAAACATCTCCTTGTAAGTGACTTAGCATCACCTATCCTGACAGATCTTAGTCCGACTGTCTTTCCCAGTATTATTAAATAGATCTTCTAATATTTATAGATGGGTCTACATTTAAAAGTGCTAACTTCCCCAATAGTAACTAGATCCTAGGAGGGAAAAGGTGCCAGGTTATTGTTGTGGTACAGGAAGGTGATTTTAAGGCCTTGGTGAACATTAAGGACCAGTTTCACCTCTGAGCTACTTTCCCAACCTTAGAAGAACTCATCTAACCATGGAATTAAGGATTTCTTTGGGTCCTTGGTAAGGTAGTGAGATAGTGAGATATTTCAGTCTGATGCCAAAGGCTTGAATACTGGAGATGGAAGGGTGACATCAGTCTTGGTCTGAATCCAAAGGCACCTAAATTAAGAACACTGCTATCCAAGCACAGGAGAGGGTAGTGCTAGATCAGACAGCAACTGATCATTGCCTCCTTCCTCTGTCTTATCTTACTCAGACTGGGTGGTGCCTGCCCACATCCACTAGTGAGGATGATCTTGCTTACTCAAATAGACAAAGAAATTGCTAATCTGTTCTAGAAACATCTTCACAGACAGATACAGAAATAGTATTTACCAGTTATAGAATGCTATAGTTTATGTTCTCTGTCAACTTGGAAGAATCTGGAATCTCCTTGGAGATAAATAGCTAGACATTTTTGTGAGGAATTGTCCTAGGTTAGAGGAACTGAGATGGGAAGATCCACTTTAGTGTGGGCAAGCTGAGCCCCAACATTACTTTTTCTCTAGTTCCTGACTGTGATTGTGATGTGCCCAGTCACCTCCTACTCCTGCTGTTAGACTTCCTCTCAGAGATGAACTGTAGCTTGAAGTTGTGAGTCCAAACAAACAGTTCCTTACGTGAGTTGCTGTTGTCAGGTTTTCTTTATTTGTTTCTGTCACAGCAGTTAGACACATAGCTAGCACATCTATTATCCCAGTTAGACTGATAGGTTAAATTAACTCAGTTCTTTGTGAGACTTGCTCTCAATTGAGGTATGAGTCCCTGAACTGAAGGCAGGCTTCCTCCGTACTGTGTGTAGGTGTCCTCTTCTGTTATCTATTCATTCCCCCGCAGTGTGTGTACTCTGTGCAGTTTGGTCTTAAAAATGGACTTACACAAACTATATTTTCAAGGATGTTTAACAAAAACTTGTCAGCAGACTTTGTGCTGAACAACATGTATGTTTTAGCAGTCTTAAATCCATCAACCTAAAAACCAGTAATTATTAAGCTGCCTTTTCAGTTCGAAAAACTTTTTTTTTTTTTGTTTTTGTTTTTTGAGACAGGGTTTCTCTCTGTAGCTTTGTGCCTTTCCTGGAACTCATTTTGGAGACCAGGCTGGCCTCGAACTCACAGAGATCTGCCTGCCTCTGCCTCCTGAGTGCTGGGATTAAAGGTGTGTGCCACTGAAATGCATAATTAATTTCTCCAAATCCACATATTTCTGGGCGGGAGTGCAAGCATATCTCCCCTGAGCATATACAAATACATATTTTTCAAGCCCATTGAAAGAACTATGGTTATCAGATCACCTCTAGCTTGGTTATTTCCTTGTGATTTGGCTTCTGGACTACCTTTTTCTCAGAAGTCTGTCGGGACTTTCCTTGAGTTCTTTGTCTCACATTTATACTAATGCCCCAGAATAAGTGATTCTCAGTGTCTACATTACTGCCATATTGATGTGCCTCATGGTCCAACTTACAAGATCTTCTTTATCAGTCTGAGTTGTATAGAAAAATATAACCAATAGAATATACATATAGATGTATGTGAATGTGAATACATGTGTATGTGCATACATAATATATGCATAAACTTATAAAGTATATATGTATTTATAATGTATATATAAATATATTTATAAATGTATATATTTGTACAGACACAAATAATGGATGAGCCTACCTGCTCATCAAACGTAACTATGCTTAGCTAAACTTAGCTATGGGTGTGATCAACATATATAAAGTACCTCCACAATACATAAGCTAGATGTTTAATTAGCAACTAAATGATATAGACAGGCCTAGATTACACATACAATCAAATACCATGCCTTTCTGGCTGGTTTCCTTGTCTCTTTCATGTCTTATTCCTTATAATCTTTTTTCATCTTAGAAGCACAATGATGATGTTAAGTCATAAGCCTTCCCATGCTATACTTCATCTTCAAGCCTTCCTTTGTTTCTTCACATCACCTTCAATTGAGTCCAACTGTGTGCAGATTCACACAGTACCTTCAAGGACCTTGCTCTCTAACCTGCCTCCACCCTCTACTGTTCTTAAACTGACTGTACTGCCTTCTCCTCTGCTTCCCCAACATACCAAGCATTTTCTCATCTTAAGCTTTTGAGTAGTTCATTGTTAGAAACATTCCTTCCCTAAGACATAACTAATTTCTTTCTCCAAGTTTTTGCTTCAGTGTCATCTTCTCAAAATAGTCTTCCTTTCCCAAGTGTTTAGAGCTCTGCTTGATGCGTTACCTGTGACTAATTCTACTGTCTTCACTATAGAATCTTTCCCTCTATACGCTATAATTTACTATTTAATATGTCTGTTACTTATGGGCCCTCTTTTCTCACCATAATGTACTTTTCATAAGACAATAATTTTTGTTTATAGGCTTTGACAGCACAAGTATCTAGATAGGTATCTAGCCAATCCTACTTATTCAACAACTATTTCCTTAACTAGTATATAAATTTAGGCTAATAATTTCAATATTTTATTTTAATGTTCCTTTAAATAGCTTCATTTTGTATTCTCTCACTTTTTCATGCTTTTATATACTTTCTCAGTATTTGGTGAACAGTAGTCTTTTTAAGAAACATTAATATTGCTTCTTATTATGCAAAAACTCTAATATGTAAGCCAGATATGTATAAAATAATTAATTGGAGATGTAATAGTTAATAGTAGATGTGCAACTTATGAACATAGCAGATTTTAGAAAATTAGATATCCTGTATTTCAGTGAAAAACATTATTGGATTTTCTGGACCTACTGTGTAAAACAGGCATGTATCACCTAGGCTGAGTTAAGGGGCTTTTAATTTGTCTTAAAATGGTCCTTAATTTAACAACTCTTAGGAAATATAATTATCAGTCAATGTGGTGGAAATCTTTCATCTTTGACAAATCGTCCTGACCCATCCTGACCCATTGGTATGGTCTCAGCTGCAGATGAAGTGCACAGGAGGAAATCTGGGTTTGCAAAGTTGGAGCACACCAAATCTGTTTTCACTTACTGCTTATTTTCTCCCTGGTCTTTTCATTCATGGGGATTTTTACAAGAAAAACAGAAGCAATAAACCCATTTGATGGATTCTGTGTCACATTTGTCTAAAGCTTACCTTTGTCCTTTCAGAGACTATAGTTCCCACATCCTGCAGATCACCAGGAGATTCTGCCATATCCTCAGCCTTACAGCACTCCCTCCAATCAAGGTACTGTAGAAAGTGTCCTGTCTGCCATGTCAGAAGATGAGGAAATCCATTAAACCCAGGTTTACTATATTCACTCGGATTTTTGCACATTTTTCAAAATTAATAACAATGCACATCAACTACATTACTAACACAAAAGAGAGAAAACTTAAGATTCAGCTCAGAAGCCTTGTGTTGAGCGGCTCTCCCACACCTCCTGTGCTGCTGCTCTAAAATCGGGCCCCCGAGGGTGCCGGTCATTTTTCCAGCTCAAGGTCTCCGCACACACTCTTTCTTCTCCCTGAAATGGTGTTAACCTGCTGGCACAATCTGAAACAAGCATAGCTTTTGTTTCTAGGAGAAGCCTTCTGAGATCTGTCTGCCCAAGTGAAGGCTCTTCTAAAAAGAAGATAATGTTCCCCTTTTCTTTTAATTATACAATAATGCAATATGCAGTTATTTTTGAAGCAAATATTTAGGCTGTTTTTGGATATTAATTGAAATGGTTCTATTACTGGTATTCATAAGAAAATCTTTAAACCAGAAATATGCATCACATCTTAGGTAGTATGGGCAAAGTGTTCCTATGGAAAAGACAATGTACAAAAGAGCTCCATGGTGGACTAGGAATGGTCTGTTCAGAAATATACCACTGAGGGAATTCAAAGAGATCATCATTGTATTCATGAATGGGTAGTCTCTTTTCTTTTCTGGGTCTTACCTTGGAACCACAAAGAGAACTGAGGGATAAAGGGACAGTGCCCTAGGGCCAGCTTGCTATTGACCAACTATTGCTATTGACAGAGGTACTTGGTCTACAGATGAAAGTGCACAAACAGAAATGTCACCTTGCTTAGAGGATTGTTCAATGGTTGACATAAGACTGATTTACAAAAGTCAAAGCAGCTCAGACCAATAAGCTGGTTTCTGTGATTTTCCTTGAAGTGATAAAAGGATTGAGCAATATCAAAAAGCCACTACTTTGGTTTTCTTCCTGAATGATGAGTGGGGACCAATGGTTTGGCCCTATGATCAGGCAAATAGTAATGAAAACCTAAACTATTCAAGAGATGCCTACCTAGAACATAGCCCTGTGGAGACCACTGTGGGGACTTAAAGAACATCTTAGGTAGGGAGGAATTGAAAGAATATTAAGAGCAAATGGCAGAGCAAGGTCAGAATCACTACAATAAATGAATGTTTAGAAGGTCAAGGAGGGTCAGTTAGCCTGTGGCTGTTGCATCATTAGAGAAAATGGTTTTCGCAGAAGGCTGCATTGTGTACATTCATTGTGATCTATAGTAACAAGTTTGGAATTGATCCTATAAACAGAGAATGACCAATGTGTTTTGAACAAGACAGTAAGATAACTCACAATTTTAATGCAAGTCTCTATCTACTCTTACAGCAAAGACTGTTGTGGGAGACATAGTGACATACACAATGGCTTGGCATTGCCCTTACATTCTCAGTGAGCTTTAAGGTGCTCTCAAGACTATTCTAGTGCTGGAGAAGGACTTTATAATTGGGTGCTCTCAAAGTTACTTCAGGCTTAATATTTATTAGAAGGTCCACCAACAAACTGAAAGCAACAATGCTCATGGTTCCAGTTCACTATAGTGAAAAGACACTGGCTAAAATCAACCAAGGGAAGAGATGCATAAGGCAAAGTGGAGAAGGTTCCACATAAATGTTCTGGTTGTTCTCATCTGCTGGAGCCATGGATAATGTGAACCTCTCCCAAAAGTGATGTGTGATAACACCCAAGGACCATTACTAAGCAAAGGCGATTACTGGAGCCTTGGAAGCAATAATTTCAACCATTAATAGCCTATTTTAATCAATGAGCACAAGATTCCATGACATCTAGTGAGTTCTTACTTAAAATTAGTTGAATGGATTTGAGAAATCAAGGATACTGAGGACTGAGATAGAAAGCTCAGACCTAGATATCAAGAGGCTTGCATTCCAATAGAAGACACAAGGAAATAAGTGTCATGTGATGAGTGAGAGATGAACCAAACATTTAGAAACCAAATGCAGTATGGAGAAAAGAGAATGTTCCTTAGAAAAGAGGATGCCTTGTGTTAAGTAAAATGTTGGAGGTGATCCAAGAGAGAAGGAGGGCAAAGCACTCCATGTAGGGGACACATAGCAATACATACAATTAGAAGGAAAAGTATGACACACTAGTGGAAATAAAACAATTACTTTATGAAAATAATAAAGAAAAAGTGTAAATAGGATGCCTAAAGGTAGATCAGAAAAAAAACAGGTAAAAGTTTTCAAAGTTTATACTATACTGTCAGCACAGATCAAAATTATTGACACCTTCTAAACTAAAGAGGAGAATACTGGCACTTCAGAAAGACCATTAATAATGGTGTATAGATTGAGTTGGAAAGAAATGCCAAGACCAAGGAAGATACACTTTTAAAGAATATGAAGGCAAAACAATCTGAAAAAAAGAAATACTCAAAACCTAAACTTAAACAGAAAATGGTGAGGAGTATTGAGTGGAACTGAAATCTGGGCTAAATGGAAAAACAGTAGGTCACCAGGACTTGCTGATTAAGAGTGTAAAGAAGTAATTGAGGAAGACATTCAGGGGCCTGGTACTGACAACAGTTACATGCTGAAACAATAAGTCTTTATTGGCAGAGTTCAAGTGGGAGACAGGCAGGAATTCAAAAGCTTGGAGGGGCAGGGAAGAATCATTACTGGACCTTGTAATTCTGAGTTAGATCATGAAAGAATGATGTCCCACAGGCAACCAAAGCAAAATGCGGCAACTCGGAGAAAATGTGGTCAGAAAGCAACGTTTTAAATACTAGAGCTTTGTAATTTGAACCTGGTTAAGTTCTTGTGTTTTAAAGTCTCACTTTTGAAAGATTTCCTATCCTTTTAGGCAGTTGTATGCCAGTTTACAAATGTACAGACAAATGCACACCCACTATTCCACACACTTGTGAGCACACACACACACACACACACACACACACACACACACACACACACACACAGGATTCACATCCATAGAATAGACCTGACGGTGTAGTTAGGGATCCATAGCATTCAATGTGGATTTCTGTGTGTCACATCAACAAGAAGGCTAACTAGACAAAAAAATCTAGTGCATCATCACAGAATGACAAAATATCAACTTTATTCTCTTCTAGCAATAGCCATGTTTGGTTTTAGTCAAGAAAAAAATCAAATGAGTGACCTTTCCTCTGTCAGCAGTTTCTGCACCACATCATGAATGGCTCCGAGGATTTCAAATATGTGGACAGCATTTCTGGAACCTTAGGCTTTATTGGCACAGATGCGTTTGGTAATGTCAATCTCAAACTCCTCTTTGCAATTTGAAATTTTCATTGTACATTTTAAATGAACACATAGCACCACAGTAGCACACAGATTCCACGGATGCCACAGTTGTGGGGAGAAAAATTACAAATGATAAAAGAGAAGGGCTACAAGGTCAAAAGACATTTTTCTGGAGAATCTTGCAATATACCAAGTGATGCCTTGGGCAGGGGCAGGGGAAGAGCTGTTTGAGAAGCCAGCAGCTGCTGTCTGTAATGCTGCTTCATTACTGCAGTGGAGCAGAAACAGGGCATCCTTTTGCCTTTCTCTCCACTGATGGTATCAATGGAACACTAATGGAATTCGTATAGTCTACTGGTGCAGTGTAAATTTATCCTGAGTCAATCTTATATTAACTATTATAATACTTTTTATAAGACTAGAGAGGAATCTTTTTTAAATTATGTATATATGTATATAAGCTTTGTAGAAAACACCCCTCCAGTCCATAATAAATAAGTCATCAGTATAGTCTTCCTTTACATGTTTTTTATCATTAGAACTGTGGGCAGAACTGAAACCTAAATTAAAACTCTCATTAATAAGATTGTTTCACAGAAATGTCACATGGCCTTTCTCCACTTAACAAAGCCCAGGCGCTTTTATTGCTGTTCTTTATTGATCTCACTTATTTAATTCTCCCTTAACAAAAAATCAGGCCCAGCTTTTGCTTGTCCTTTTATTTTGTTAGCAAAATAGGCCAGGCTTCCAAAACCAACAAAGTCATGCAAATCACTTAAGCATTTCTGTCTCGTCTTTAAACCATGTCCAAACTATGAACTCAGGGTTGTCCATTTGTATAAGAATTTCTGGACTAGACAGGAGCCCAGATGTTTCAAGTGGATTTGCAAATGGCAAAGTCCTGCCTGTTGGATCTGCCTGCAAATCTATTTGCAAATGTAAATCCTTTTTCCAAACAGATAAGTTTTTTTTTTTTCCAACAAAAATCTTTGAACAAAGCAGAATGCCCATGGAATGTACGTGTCTGTGTGACGTTCCTGTGTACTTGTAGGTGAGGACTTCCGTATCTTCCTAGTGAAATCTCAGAGATGATAAGTAAGGAAGACGAAACCTATTTTCAAAGGGCACTGGCGACCTTCTGCCATCTTGGGGCAACAATGCTGAGCAGTTCAGACCTCCTCCTTTCTCCCTGTGTGAACTCGCATGGAGCCTGTGTCCCTGACCATCCATATCCAACATCGCATAGAGTCTAGATGTTGGGTGCAGGTTTCCACGATCCCTGCCCCATGAGACCATCATTCTGACCTCACTTTTTTCTTACCTTCGACAAAATCCACAGGAAATGCAATCACACATTACTCTATCGCTGCTCATGTAACTCAGTGAACCTTACCTACAGCTCCGTTGTGTGTTCACTGGGTTCCTTCCCACTTCCCACATTCCTCTAACACAACAAATTGGTCTATACTAAGAGTCACTGGTGAGGGAAAAGCACAGCCAGCTTTCAGTCCCATGTCCCACACCTTCTCTGTGTACCTCTTACTACTGCCCTGAAACTAGGCTGGACTCTGGCCACAACTTCTGTGTGTTGTCTGCCATACTCCAGACTTTTTCTCCTTGATATCCATTCCTTAGCACTTTTGTGAAAATGATTTCTTTGAACTACAAATCTAACCTTGTCATCAGTACCTCTCAACACTATTCGACCCCTT